ATCTTAAAGAACCAGCTTTTGGTCTCATTTGTTTTCTCTATTGTATTTGTTTCCTATTTCAATGATTTTCACTTTAATTTTCATTCTTTCCTTTCTTTTGCTTATTTGGACTTAATTTACTGTTCTTTTTCTAGTTTTTTAAGGTGGAAACAAAAGTCACTTATTTGAGACCTTTCTTCAATTCTAATATAGATGTTTAGTTTTATAAATCCCTCCTAAGTACTGTTCCAGTGATGTCCCACAAAATCTGAGACATTATGTTTTTATTTTCATTCATGAATGTGCAAAATACTTTCTCATTTCCTGTTTTATTTTTTCTTTCAGTCATGAGTTAGAGGTGTACTACTTAGCTTCTAAATATTTGGGATTTTCCAGAGATCTGTCGTTGGTTTCTCATTTAATTTTCTTGCAGTCAAAGTATCACTTAAAATTTGTTTTTATGGCCCGCTAATATGATCTCAGTAAATAGTCTCTGTGTTCTTGAGAATAAATATATTCTACTGTTGTTGGGTTGTGTGTTTTATAAATGTCAATCAAGTCAGCTTAGTTTACTGTGTTGTTCAATTCTATATTCTTGCTGATTTTTTCGACTTGTTTTAGTGATTATTGAAAGATAGGTATTGATATCTTCAGCAATACTGTTTTTTTTTTTTTTCTATTTCTCCATGTACTTCTACACTTTTTTTTTTCATGGATTTTGAAGCTGTTATTCAGAACATAAATGTTTCAGATTGTTATGTCCTTCTGATTGACTCCTTTAGGGTTATGACGTTACCATCTTTATCCATGATGATAATCTTTGCTCTGAAATCTACTTTGTCTGAAATTAATATAGCCACTCTGCCTTTCTTTGAACTACTGTTAGCATAGTATATCTTTTTCTATTCCTTTACTTTTAACATATTTGTCTCTCTATACATTAATATGTACATATCTACGCATACATACATGTATTTATACATGTATATTAGTGTGTGTTTGGTAGTAAGCAAACATATATAGTTGACCCTCTGTGTCTATGGGTTCTGCATTCATAGATTCAATCAATTGCAGATCGAAAATATTCATAAACCAAAAAATGGCTGCATTTGTACTGAACATGTATAGACTTTTCTTTGTTGTCGTTATTCCCCAGACGATACAATATAACAACTATGTACATAGCATTTACATTGTATTAGGTATTATAAGTAATCTAGAGATGATTTAAAGTATACAGGAGGATATGTGTAAGTTATATGCAAATATTACACATTTTATATAAGAGACTTGGATATCTGGATTTAAGTATCTGCAGGGGGTCCTGGAACCAATCCTCCATGGATACCAAGGGACAACTCTAGTTGGGTCATGCTTTATTATGTAGATAATGTCTGACTTCAAATGGAGTTGTTTAGACCATTTACATTTAATGTGACTGTTGATATGCTTAGGTTTAAGTATATAATCATATTTGTTTTCCAGAGATTGTTGTTGATTTCTAATTTAATTTCATTATGACATGAAAACATACTTCACATGCTCCGTGTGAAGTATGTTCTTTATATTTTTGTTCTTTATTTTTACCTTCATGTGGATTAATTATTTATTTTTAAAACATTTTTTATAGATTCAGGGTGGTACCTGTGCAGGTGTGTTACATGGATGTATTGTGTGGTGGAGTTTAGGTTTCTATTGTACCCATCACCCAAGTAGTGAGCATTGTACCCAATAAGTAATTTTTCAATTCTTATCTCGCTCCCACTCTTCTTCCTTTTGGAGTCCCCAGTGTCTATTAATTCTGCGTGTATGTGTGTCCATGTATACCCATTGTCTAGCTCCCACTTATATGTGAGAACATGTGGGATTACATGTTCTCCAGCTCCATTCATATTGCTGCAAAAGACATAATTTCATTCTTCTTATGGCTGCATAGTATTCCATGGCGCATACCACATTTTCTCTATTCAGTTATCCATTGATGGACACTTGGGTTTATTCCATAACATTGCTATTGTGAATAGTACTACACTAAACATACAAGTACAGATACCTTTTTGATACAATGATTTTTTTTCCTTTGGAGCTGCCCAGTCAAGGGGTAGTTAGTTCCGTTTTTAGTTCTTGGAGAGTAGATTAGTTACTTCTTATCCTCTATGATGAGTTACTAACTGTAACTCTTGCATTTTGCTATTTTAGTGATTGCTTTAGGATTTATGGTGTACATTTTTAACATCACAGTTTATCTTCAAATGATACTATAAGACGTCATGTATCATAAGAGAACCTCAGAATATTATACCTCTGTTTCTCGCCTACCAGAAATTATGCTATTGTGTCATATATCTTACTTTTGCATGTATTGTAAACTCCATAATGTGTATTTATTATTTTTGTTTAAACAATCATTTTGTATTCAGTGATATTAAAATAGTAATAACAAATTATTACATATTTATCCATGAAATTACCGCTTTTAGTGCTCTTCATTTCTTTGTGTAGATCCATATTTTCATCTGGTGTAATTTGTCTTCTGCCTGAACAATAACTTTAACATTAAGTGCATCAGCTGAATTATTTCAGTTTTTGTATGTTTGAAAATTCTTCACTTCTGAAATATTTATTTTCGCTGAATTTTAGCATTCTAGATTGACAGTTGTTTTTCTTTTCCTTTTTTTATTTATTCAGTTTTGGGTTTTTTGTTTTTTTTTTTTTTTTTGATGGACTCTTGCTCTCTCCAGAGTGCAGTGCAGTGGCACCATCTTGGCTCACCGCAACCTCTGCCTCCCAAGTTCAAGTGATTCTCCTGCCTCGGCCTCCTGAGTGGCTGGGACTACAGGCGCGCGCGACCATGCCCAGCTAATTTTTGTAATTTTAGTAGAGATGGGGTTTCACCGTGTTGGCCAGGACGGTCTCAGTCTCGACCTTGTGATCCGCGGACCTCAGCCTCCCAAAGTGCTGGGATTACAGACATGAGCCACCGCGCCCGGCCCAACAGTTGTTATTCTTACAGTAAATTAAAGATGTTGCTTCACTGTTGCCTTATGGCATTATTTCTGATGAGCACCTTGCTTTCTTATCTTCCTTCCACTGTATATAACATAGTGTTTCCTCTGGCTGCTTTTCATATTTTCTATTTATTACTGATTTTGAGCAATTCAGTAGTGATTAATTATGGTTGTATAGTTTTCAGTTTTCTTTGAGATTTGTTGAATTTCTTGAATCTATAGATTTATAGTTTATATCAAATTAGAACTTTTCCAGTGACTATTTCTTCAAATTTTTTTCTGCCTTTCCTTCCACACTGTGCATTGGGCCACTTGAAGTTGTCTCACAACTCATTGATGTTGTGTTGATTTTTTAAATTCTTTTTTCTGTTTGTATTTCATTTTTAATAGTTTCTATTAATGTCTTAAAGTTTATGAATTTCTTCTTCAATATGTATTCTTCCATTAATAAAATTCATAAAAAACAAAATGTCTGAGATGAAAAATCTCATCTCCAGAAATTTTCATCTCTAGAAATTTGAATTGAGTAGTTGTCAGTAACTTTTTAAATATGTAAAATACAGCTGCAACAACTGTTTTCTTTGTCTGCTAATTCTAAGATCTATGTCACTCCTAAGTTTTCATTGACTGATTATTCTCCTTGTTATAGATCCTCTTTTCCTGCTTTTTTGCATAGTTGATAATCTTTAATTGGATGCCATACATTGTGAATTTCACCTTCTTGAGTACTATATTTTTTGTATTCCTATAAATCTTCTTGAGCTCTGTTCTGGAATGCAGTTAATTTACTTGGAAGCTGTTTGATCATTTTAGGTGTTGCTTTTTTAATTTGCTTGGCAGGCTAGAGTAATATTTGTCCTAGAGCTAATTACTCTCCACTACTTAGGCAAGGCTGTCTTCATCGCCTCAATACAGGGAGTCCTCTAGATGTACCTGGATTTCCTCTCACTACACCACAGCATGGTAACTCTCCATGCAGTAAGCTGAGGCAATGCTAAGGCTCACCTGGTTTGTTTTCTATGTATCAGGGATCATTGTCTTTCATAGCTTTATGTTCAGCATCTTGAAGACCACTGTTTCATAGGTTTTGTCTTTTTTTTTTTTTTTTTTTTGGAGGAAGGGGCAGTTGCAGTAGGAGGGTAAATCCAGCGCCTGTTTGAATATTAACATATCCAATTAATGCTATGTCTGATGTAGGATTCATATCAACATCCATGGACAATCTCAAATAACTACATATTTGGAAAATATGATTTTTGTTTCACAACAAACACTAATAAATAGATCAGTCTATTTTTTAACACAACAGTTCTAGTTTCGCTTGTAGGTTCAATTGGCACTTATTGACTGATATCATGCAGACTACTTTTCACTACTGTACCCTAAAAATCTAAGATGGAAAATCAAAACATTCCAGAACAATCTGACTCTGTGTGTGATCTAATTGGTTACAATAAATAGTAAGTTAATTCTGCTCTTTACCCTTTTCTCATCTTGCCAGTCTTGTCCTTGCCCCTTTCTCCAGCCCAGTCTTATTTCTTCCATTCATTCAGAAGATCTTAAATTAAACATCACTTTTTCAGAAAGCTGTCCCTTGCCCTCTAAAATAAGAAGGTCCCCCAAACTGAATTTTCATTCAACACTCTGTACTTTTACCGTATCATAACATTTATTACACTTTATAGAATTTTTTTATCTACCTTCCCTGATGAACTCTCAATTTCTGGTTCACTGCTGTGGCTCCAGTGTCATGCATAGTGTGTGATGACTAGTAAATACTCTATTATTTTTGTTGACTGTAAATACAAAGGAACATTCATGAATTTCACATAGATTGTACCTGACTCACCATCACTAATACATTGCTTATGATAGTATTGAACAAGCAAAATTCTAAGGGATATAGTTATTGTATGATTTTTCTGAGCCATGTTTTAAATGTCAGTAGAACTAAGAAGTACATTAATTATACTTTGATCCAACCATGTGGGGCTTTTTTTTTTTTTTTTTCAGGATGCAGAAGAGTATACAGATTTACCCGTGAGACACAATGAAGATCATATGAATAGTGAACTGGCAAAATGTCTTCCCATTGAGTTAAATCCTCATTCATTTGACAGCCCTCACACCAAAGCACATCTCCTACTACAGGCACATCTCAGCCGAGCCATGCTACCCTGCCCAGATTATGACACTGATACCAAAACAGTCTTGGACCAAGCTCTCAGAGTATGTCAGGTATGAAAGTCACTTCTAATATCTATGTGTGTTTTCTCCCATCATTCCTGCCCTCTTTTTGCTAGTTTTAGGATAAAATGTACTTGCATTTAACAACTTTATGGTATCATTGTTGAGAAACAACTGGTTGATCATACCGAGAATTTCCAAAGTAAAAACAAATATAAATGAAATAAGATGACAGTTTTAGTCACCCATTCTACTAAAACATATTGAAGGCAAACTATGTGCCAGATACTTTTCTAGGCCCTGAGCATATAATAATGAACAAGACAGAAGAGTCCCTTCTATTATGGACTTTCACTCAAGTTGGGGAAGACTGACAATTTAGAATATAAATTAATAGGTGATAACTGGCATTTTTAAATAACTGCTTTAAAAAAATAAAGAATGGTAAAATAAATAAAGAGAAAGATGGAGGGTAATGTTTTGTACTGTTTTTTAATATGGTATTCAGGAACTATCTCACTGGTAAGGTAACATTTAACTAAAAATGAAAGAAGAGAGTAAACCATAGGGTCTCTGCAGGTGTGTATTCAAACACTAAGAAAGTTTTCATGTAGGAAGTTACTTGGTATATTCAAGGAATATCCAGAAGGCTTATTGTAAAAAAGGTCGAAAGAGATGGTTAAAACAATAAAAAAAAAAATTAGTGAGAAGTATGGCAGTTTTTACATTTTGCAAGTATCTTTAATATCCAACTTATGAGAGATCAACTAGGTTTATATATCTTCTTTTACAATCAACATAAAATGTCTATTGCAATAGGATGTGTTAGTTGAAGTATATGAAAAAAAATCCAGCCTAGAGAGGTAAACAGTTTAAAAAGAGAAGAGTATTTTTATAGCCTTTTCAGATAATTGTGGGTATTCTTCTTTAATGCTACACTAGAACCTGACAAGCGATATTTCTTGAAGGTTAGTTGCAATGTGGAATCTGAAACCATATTAATGACCTTTTTATACCTTAAGTGCTCTAGTGCTAGACAATAAAATGATGGTGGTTTGATCAGGTTAGTAATGGGTGAGGTTGATGAAAATTGGTCAGATACTAAATATTTTTCTAAGGAGAACTAACAGACTCTTCTAATGAATTGAACAAGGGTTTTTAAGGAAGCAAGGAACCAAAGATGATTTCAAGGCTTTTCTCCATAGCAAGTAGAAGCATGGAGCTAACATTACTGGGAGATGATTGTCAGAGGAGCTGGTTTTGGTGGGGGAAGAATACCTAAAGGATTGTGATTATAAAGGATTTTAATTTTCTACTTTATACCTTTTTTGGATGTGTTTTTAAACTTTTTTTTTCATAAAAACCCATTTTTAAAATTTTCAAAAGATTTAAGATCTTTAAAGGTAGAGTAAGTTAGTCTATATAAATATGTATACAAGAATATACATTATGAAATGATTTGCAAAGTTAAGGCTTGGAAATAACCTAAGTATCTCTCAGGTTATTAGAATACTACAAAATATTACAATTCCATTTATGAACTCTACATTTGTGTAGAATGTCCATATCTATATATGAATATATACCCAGAGAGGAGATCCAGAATGGTGTCCACCAAAAGTTTAACAGTAGCCGTATCTGGGTAGCAGGAATTCGGGTGATTTTTAATTTCTTCTTTATGCTATTCTTAAATGTTTGAATGTTTTAAAATTAACCTCAAGTGTTTTTATTATCAAAAATAACAATTTTATTGTTTTAGAAACTAGAAGTACTATAAAAAGAGAGAGTAAGCTCAAGTTATCAAAAATTGGAAGGGAAGTAAGGCTATAATAAACATATAACATGTTTTTACACTCTTTTGTAACTAACACATGGTTTACTTATTGAGGAAGGTGATTTGCTACTGCTTATTAGTCACACTTCACAAAGGTTAAAGGTCCTAAAGTTTTAGCTGTTGCCCTGGATACTTATTTGTGTTTCCTATAACTTCCTTTCCTCTCTCAAACACTGACTTGTTAATGAACTCTGGGGTCAGAAAGGGTAGAAGAGAAATGGCAAGATAAATTAAGTTTTTATATTTACAGATATTTTGATTGTACGTTATAATTTTTGTATGTAGATTACTTCTAAAACCTATATTGTGTGATCAGTTCATTGATTCTTTTTTAGCACTCAGTGAATAATGATTCAAAAACTAGATAATAATCTAGGAAATTTCTTAAAGGAGTCTGTTTCTAAATTTACTTTTAAGGAAAAGGATTCAGCCAGATACTTTTTAGCCTCTATTAGATATTTTTATATACAGTATATATATTTATATAGTATATATATCTATATATATCTTATATACAGTGTCTGGGATAATATTTATATTCCTTAAATATGGTTGATCCTTCTAAATAGCATCTAAAGAGAAATCATTTTCTCTTTAATTATAAAAATAGTACACTTCATTGTAGATAATTTGGAAAAGCAGCATACTAAAATTAAAGTCATTCATAGTAATTATACCTTCACTCACATGAATATGAGGCTCTTTTCTTTTTTTCAATGAATTTTTAATTTTTTTTAAATTAGACTTTTGTTTTGAAATAATTTCAGGCTTACAAGTATTTGCAAAATACTACAATGAAATTTTCTTATACCTGTTACCCAACCTCCCCAAAAGTTAACATCTTAACTCAGTGTTGGTCCAGTCCTATTAACAAATCTACAGACCTATTCAAATTTTGTCAGTATGAATTTTATCCCAATAATTGCCCTTTCTCTCTCTGTACCATGATCCAATTCAGGATCCCAGATTGCATTTAGTTGTCATGTCGCCTTAGCCTTCTTGTCTTTCTTGGCACTTGTGAAGAGTACCAGGCAGTTATTTTAGGGAATTATCCCACAGTTTGGATTTGCCTGTTATGATTACATTTAAGTTTGTGGTATTCTTTGTCAAGAATATGGCAGCAGTGATGGTTTGTCCTCTTAGTGTATCGTATCAGGAGGCTTACGACAGATGTGTGTGGCAATGATATTGACTTTATACAATTGAGGTGATGTCTGCCAGCCTTCTTCCCTAGTTACTTTTTTTTTTGTAATAAATAAATAAACTTTGGAAAATAACTTTGAGATTATATAAATATTCTGTTTCTTGTCATAGTTTTTAACATTATTTGCAGCATCCATTTGTGATATTTGCCCAGAACAATTACTATTGTGAATTTCTATTTTAATGATTCTTGGAATTATACGATAAGGAAGAACTTCCCTTCTTCCCCATTTATTTACTTTATTCAGTTATTTATTTATATAAGCATAGACTCACCGCACTGTTTCTTGAATACTACCTTGCATTCTGGCATCTTGTGCTGTCACCCCAGCCTTGGAATCAGCCATTTTTTTTTTATAAGAACCTTGGTTCCTTTTATTAGAGATGGTTGTAGAAACTAAAATCTGGACTGAGTGTAGTAGTTCATACCTTTAATCTCAGCACTTTGGGAGGCCAAGACCCCATCTCCACAAAAATAAAATTAAAAATTAGCTAGGTGTGGTGGTGGACGGTAGAGGGTGCCAAGGTGAGAGAATTGCTTGAACCCAGGAGGTCAAGGCTGCAATGAGCCATGATCAAGCCACTGTGCTCCAGCCTGGGTGACAGAGCAAGACCCTGTCTCAAAAATAGAAAATCTGGGTGCTTTCTGCATTCCACTGCTACTTGGGAGTCTTTGCTTCTAGGCCCTCTCTGTGTACAAAACAAGGAAATGTAAGTATGTATACACAGACATTTATATTTATTTGCGTGCCCATTTACCTCTCATGGACGTGTGTATGTGTGTGTAAAAACATCTATATTTATCATTCTTATACTTTATATTTCAATCTAAGACCAAAGGGTTCACTTAGTCTTCCTCCTTTTTTATTAATAACTCCTCTTTCTACCTGTAAGGTATCACAGTATTGTTAATAAAGATATATTTATTTAGCTCCTCAATCCTAGAATATTCAGTGGTGTAGTTTTAGAATTACCAACCCTTTCTCTTGCAAAAAGCAGATACTAACTAAAATGCAGCAGTTGTGTACAGTTCTTTTTTTTCTTTGGAGACTTTTTCTTGGTAAATTTACACACACACAAATTCACTTTTTTCTTATAGAAATATCTTATGTTATTTTATAAATGCCTAATAATTTATAGCATTAAACATTGTTCTCAAGAATAATTTCTAATGGCTATGCTATATTCCCTCATATAAAATTTCATAATTTATTTAGTGAGTTATCTGTTATTAGACATTTGTGTATGCAGTTTTCCTCTATTTTAAGTTATAAGCATTAGTTTTGACCATCTTAAATGTTTGACTTGGCTTGTTGGAAGCCACCTGGAAGGAAGCTGCATTGTAAAGAGATGAAAACCAGCTTCTGCTGGGTGCCATGGCTCATGCCTATAATCCCAGCACTTTGAGAAGCCAAGGCAGGTGGATCACAAGTTCAGGAGTTCAAGACCAGCCTGGCCAAGATGGTGAAATCCCACCTCTACTAAAAATACAAAAATCAGCCGGGGGTGGTGGCGGGTGCCTGTAATCCCAGCTACTCGGGAGGCTGAGGCTGAGAACTGCTTGAACCCGGGAGGCAGAGGTTGCAGTGAGCCAAGATCACGCTGCTGCACTCTAGCCTGGGTGACAGAGCGAGACTCCATCTCAAAAATAAAAGCTCATATTCTGAATCCTCTCACTCTTGGAATTTCTCTACAAAATTGTATGAAAGTAAACAAGCCATTAAGAGGAAAGAATATTAGAGTTGCCAGTGGGAAACTTGGAGAGAATGACTGATTGGCAGTTCTAATTCTGTACCCTGTTGTTTTCATTTGATACGCGGGTACTATTGGCCTTAGAAAGTACGGGTTCAAGCAGTTCGCAGCTCTGCTGGCTGATTGAAAATTATACTACCGCTCTCATGGGACATCAGCATGATCTTGTGAACTGTGGATGGGAATCTGCCACCAGTTCTGACTGTAAATTCTCCTCTGCTGCCATTTTAGTATAAGGCCATAGGCAAGTCACTTAACCTTT